ATCACGCCGATGATCGCGCGATGACGAGAACAATCGTCGGAATAATAATCACATACACAGACACGACGTACTACAGGCACGTAAATAAGAAAACCGATCGAATTGAATTGATGCACGGCTGTACGTTAAGTCATCCTCGATTCCACTCCTTCTTCTTCCTCTCCGAATTCGCTTGTCAAACGAAAACGACTGCGGATATATTTGAAATTTCAATGCGCCTTGATCGCCATCCTTCGCCATCGTTGCCTTCGACTACGCGGGAAACGCGTTAACACTAAAACGCTTGAATCCATTGTATCGTTAATTTATCTGATATTTTTCGTAAACTCTTCTCTTCGTTGCCAGTAAAATCTGAACGGTGCTTTTAACCCGTGCTTTGAAGGAATTACCTGACATTGATGATCAAATATCTCGAAAACAGAATATCTCGATTTCGCCCTTGCGGCTTGCATTTTTCAACTTTCCTTCTTTTTTCTTGCAAGCACTCCTAACCAGTTCTTATCTATGATTTTGAAACATCCTGCATTAAAGGATCAGTTATCACTTTCCTTTTGCAAACAAAAAAGAGGTTCTGCAAGTAGACGTAGAAAATTCAGGCGTTCTAATGTCAACCCTCTCGTTTCCAAATTACCTCTAAATATTGAGAGAGACATTTAAATGTATTCTTACTCTCTTACATTTAGCGCTCAATAATTTAACAATACGATTTATTTTAATTCGTGAAATTACTTTGTAAGTTTCTCCTTAATTCGTTGCGCTATTCGATTACACTGGGCGTCGAGAGAGTCGAATCGCGACGTAACTGCTACGTTCCGCGAGAAAGCTCACCCTCTTGAAAATAAAAGAGATATTCCTTTTCATTCTTCTTTTTTTTTTCAATTTGAATATCCCCATTTCGACTGCGCGCGATATCGTGCCGGGAACGAACGAATCGAATTCGTACTCGTCTACGACAAGTAGTCCGTTATCCGTGAGAAGTATCCGCCGAGGAACGAGCCGCCGAGGGATCGAGACGAGTTTTATCGCGCCGATAACCACGACGCCGCTATCTCGATTTTACTCATTTCCCCACCTCGCGCAAAAACTGCCTCGCGGAAAGCTGCCCCGTGAAAACTGCCTCGCGAAACTTGTTAATTCCGCGAGTGCCGCCGGGCGAAAGGGGAAACGGCGGGGTGCCAGAGTACGAGGGGATGAAGGGCACGGGGGGAGGGGTAGAAGAGGGCGCGACGGCGGCTCCGGGGAAATCTGCGAACTCGCGCATTAGAAAACTCCGGGGTTGTAGCATGCGGACGCGAAAGTTTCGCGAGGCGATCTTGTTATTGTTTCCGAAACGTTTCTCGCGCTCTGTGCGAGCGGAGCCCGCGTGCCGAAGGCCGAAGCAATATTACACGATGGTATCCCGAATCTTTGCCGAGCGCGCTTCACGAAGACCGCATCGTAATTCCGGAAAGCTTCGTTCCCGCTTTTCCCCCTTTTTTGCCCTCTTTTTTCCCCGCGAAGCATTGGTAGCAGTACGATAGTAGTCGTGTTATCGCGCTACATTAGCCTATGCTTTTATTTCTAGGGTATCTCTGCGTGTGTAACACGTATATCTATGTGAAATAATTAATTCGAGAAACGCCCGGTGGAAGCAGCCGAATCGGCGGTGCGACCGCCGAAAAAGTCCTTGTACGAAGTGACGGGTCATCCTCGAGAGGCGGAAGATAAGGCATGACGCGTCTACATCGTTTACATCGTTCGGTGACGACGTTTCGACTGACCCGCGGGAATCAACGACGTGCGAGCTCAAGTGGCCATTCAAATACCTTTCGTATTTCGAAAGTGCCGTCATGTGACATTCGCGTAGCGTCCAATCGAGCCGGCATTTTCGCACGTCTGACTGACATCGTCGAATGTACATACAGCCGCGTGACATTCCACGTAGAGCTAAGCAAACGCGGACATCCAGTCTCTCCGCGGGGAGCGAGAGTAAAGTCCAACAGGCGGCTGTTCGCGATGATCAACATCGACAGTCGGGCGAACGTCGATAAACGATATAAATTCCAACGGGTCTCCGTTTTAAGAAGAATCGAAACGCGACGGCGCGGCTACGCGAACATGACTCGCCGAATTCAACAAGTCGCACGTCGGTCCGTCCACCTGCTCGCGTCGGATCCCTCTGCTTCCACCGGCCGGTCATATATCCTGCTCTTTAAACGCTAATCGCAATTAATCATCACGTGTTTGTCGTTGCCTTCATAGCTTATATCTGTGACTCTTACGAATTTACAATCCTCCCCGATACTTTTAGATCTCTGTGTCGCTCGCGATCTCTAGGAATCTATCTCTACGTGCAGTACCTTAAATTAGTCTCTTTGTCGCCGCAGGTCCATCGCCTCTCGCGTCGCGTTTCATTTCCCTTCGCCGCCTCTTCGCACTACAAAATATACGCGCGCGAATCGTCTTCTCTCTGCGGCTATTCCCGATTTTTCGCGCGTTCTCCGCGCGATTTCTCTTTCCGGCCGAGAACGTCGAGGTTGACCTGCTTCGTCTCCGTTAGTCACAATTCATCGGACGTGCTCAACACATTCGCCATTACATTAATCGTTAATTACTCGCCGCCATGTCGAGCGATCAATCGCCGTTGCGAACCACCTCGGATCGACGTGGATGAATCGCGGCACGAAACGCGGCATCTCGTTCGCTAGTCAACGACTACGGTCTGCGCTAATTTCAACGCTACTCGTCCCACTAATGCTAACCTACGCATCCCTCTTCTCACGATCGAGCACATTAGCGTAATCGAGTGAGCGTATAGATATATATATATATATATATATATATATATATATATATATATATATATATATATGTGTGTATATATATATATGTATATATATATATATATGTATATAGCGCTTTTGTAACCCTAACTAGAGACACTCCAAGTTACTGCCCACTACTCTCGTTGTGGTTGCCGTGCTCGTCGCGTCGCACGACGAATTCGCCCGATTTCCAGCCCAGGATCTATCGATACCAGTCACCATCGATCACCGCCACGTGTGTCGGGCGACGTACGTAAAGCCGTACGGCTCGCGTAATCAGATCGCCTTACGAGTCCACGCGGCGTAAATTACTGTAATTAACCGACGCGCGCACACGAGCACGAGCGCGCGCGCGTCCTAACCCGCCTGCGAAATCAGGATATTCCTGGTGTCCGCTGCAATTTCATCCGTTGTCGTCGTTACGCTCTAATCACCGCGGGCGTTCCGTTACGCCCCGCTTGATTAATCCACCCGACGCGCTACGCTATCCGTGATAGAGAGAGAGAGAGAGAGAGAGAGAGAAAGAGAAAAAAAAACCATCCAGAAAGGACGTAATAGATAGGGAGAGAAAATCACGAACGGAAAAAAAGACGAGAAAGAGTAGAATAAAGAAAAAATAGGGTGTGAGAGGTGAGGTGAGAGGAGGACAACGAAAACCGAACCGAAAAGACGAAAGGAAGTGACCACACCGTCGGCGCGACGTCGATCCACCTCGTCTCGAACGTCCGCACGCCGTCGTACCGTATACGTGCTACGGCGTCGTCGTACCGATTCGAAACTCCACAAGATCGAGATATATATATATATATATATATATATATATATATATATATATAGATATATATATATATATATAGATATATATATATATATATAGATATATATATATATATATAGATATATATATATATATATAGATATATATATATATATATAGATATATATATATATATATAGATATATATATATATATATAGATATATATATATATATATAGATATATATATATATATATAGATATATATATATATATATAGATATATATATATATATATAGATATATATATATATATATAGATATATATATATATATATAGATATATATATATATATATAGATATATATATATATATATAGATATATATATATATATATAGATATATATATATATATATAGATATATATATATATATATAGATATATATATATATATATAGATATATATATATATATATAGATATATATATATATATATAGATATATATATATATATATAGATATATATATATATATATAGATATATATATATATATATAGATATATATATATATATATAGATATATATATATATATATAGATATATATATATATATATAGATATATATATATATATATAGATATATATATATATATATAGATATATATATATATATATAGATATATATATATATATATAGATATATATATATATATATAGATATATATATATATATATAGATATATATATATATATATAGATATATATATATATATATAGATATATATATATATATATAGATATATATATATATATATAGATATATATATATATATATAGATATATATATATATATATAGATATATATATATATATATAGATATATATATATATATATAGATATATATATATATATATAGATATATATATATATATATAGATATATATATATATATATAGATATATATATATATATATAGATATATATATATATATATAGATATATATATATATATATAGATATATATATATATATATAGATATATATATATATATATAGATATATATATATATATACATATATATATATATGCATATATATATATATGTATATATATGTATATATCTCTCTAGTAATACGCGTGAACGTAAATGAGGTTGTGTAAGGGATGATGGTGGGCATGGGGATTGTGCAAGGGGGTGCACAGGGACGTCGTGGTGATGGTGGTGGGGGACGGCGGATGATTGACAGATTGCATCGTGGATACGGGCGACACCTGATTGGGGGGACCGGCCGGCACTTGGTACACGGTATTGGGCGCGGCCATCGGGCACCTTGAGGCCCCGGCTGCGCCGTGTTGGGCCCCATGCTGTTGTTGTTGTTGTTGCTGTTGTTGTTGTTGTTGTTGTTGTTGAATGTAGTTTGGTGGTAGACATACCTCGAGGCGGTCGGTACGCGGCATCTTCTGCGGCATCGCCACCGTCTGCGGCACCACGCCGAGCGGACTGCCGACGCCCGTCGGGTCTGCCGGGCCCATTATCGCCGGCATTATCGGGCTGGGCGCGAAGTACGGGCTGTACGTATTGCCAACCTGCGGCATACCGGTCAGGTACGGATTCGTCGCCTGCGAAAAACACACCCCGGAAGGTATCCAGGTAACACAGATTAGAATACACCTGCCCCCAACCTTCGCTCCGCGCGACCCGTGTCTAGGATCGCGCGCACCGCGACACGCGCTTTCCCCCGATATACTATACGGACGCGAACTTTACACCCCGTGACTTTATACGCCGTATCGCGCCGTAGAGGAGTAACCTGGCGGTCGCGCAGACGGAAAGCACGTGAGGCGCGTCTCATGCCGGAAGGAAAAGAATCCTCTCGCCAAACGCGGTTTGTCTCTCGAGTTGACGAGCTCGTAGCGAGCTCTCGGCGACCAAGAGCCGACATGGCGTTTCCTATATACACGCCACCCAGTGCCAAATGCTCTGTATACCTCGCTCTGTAATCCACTGTCTCCGGGCTATCCACGTAAATTCCGCTCCGAGGTGCATCAAGGCTTCGCGAGCAACGCTCCCTCCGGCGTTTATTAACTTTCAGACGTATACATCGTCACGGATTGCGAGGCTTCCGCCGGGCTCACTTCAATTTCGGCTGAATAAGCGCGGCACCGTTAATGTCGGCGTGTAATAACAGCGCGCAATAGAGGAAGATTACGAATTAACGTATTGCCAAAGGGAATTACCGCGTGGCGATTTGCGGCTAATTGATATTTACTCGCGAAAGTACGCGCTCCGGATTGAATGCGCTGACTCGGCCGTAAAATAGTCGGTTGATTCGCGCGTCCGAAGCTGCATCCGACAAGTAGTATCTTCGATATCATCTCGTTTATAACTCAAAAGATATTGACACCCGTGTAATCCACCGGAACGGACAGTGACTTCCTCGGGGGAGATTCGCGCGATAATGACGCGGCAAGGCGAAGCCGCGGCCTCGTAAGCTTGAGAAACGAGCTGCGGCTTGCTCGTTCGCGAGAATCCGCAAAGAAAAGGGCGCCTTGTTTGCGAGCCTCGCGAAGCCTTAATCGTTCCTTTTTCGCTTCTCTCGTGCTTTTCGCTACCCCACCCGCGACCGCTTTTCACGACAAGCGTACGTTCCCACACGAAGCGTTCGGTTTTGCAGCGAGAGCTGACTCCCAGAAGCGAAGGCAGGTAATTTCAAGCGCATTCGAACGAGCCGAACGCTCCTTCCTTCTTCACAAGGGTCTCTGCTACTACTCTGGGAGCTTTCGTTGTTGTAAACAAGCTTTCGGAAGCGTGGCCAGGTAATCGCTCAAAAATGTTAGGTCGGTACACCGCGGTATTCACGACGGAGAACAACGACGCCTGCCAATTTCTCGGGCTATCGGGAGACGAGAGTTTCGTTCCTCGCGAGAACGATCGCGAGGATGGTCTCGCGCGGGACCGACAATTTCCACTTTCGAGATTGCCAAGCCTCGCGTCCCTCTTCTTCCTCGTGTCTTTGACTCTCGTGTGAGCTTCATTTCTCAATTACGTTTGAATGCGACTGTTCTCGCGCCCGGGATATTGTCCATCAATGCGACAACGAAGAAAAATATTTCCAAGACAAACACTCGCCGCTTCGAGAGCCAAAGGACGCGCAGATTTCACACGGCCGCAGTACTACATGCTTTTCTCTACTACGGGAAAACTCGAAAGAACGTGTACAGACAAAAATCTTTAATCTTCAATAAACAAACGGAAACACCTCGTGTGAAGCATGCAAATCAAAGTTACTCGACTCACTGTGCGGCGCGCTCTTGAAATCAACTTAAGCTCTCGTACGAACGCTTACTAATTACAGGCTTATCGCTTTCATTGGTTGCAGTGGACGTGAATCTTCGCTCTGAGACTCGTATCGACGCGCGAAAGATACGCGCACACCGCGCAGTGGCAACGCGTACACACATTGATCATTGTACGACCGTCGCAACGTCCGTCAACGTTGGCGACCAGCGTGCAATCATTCACGTCCACTGCGAGCCAGCGTGGTGTTGAATTAACTAAAAAATTAGTGGAAGCCAACCAAAACCAGGAGTTACCATAAAGGCGTGGGTAGCGAGAAGTTGCTGCTGGATTTGCTGTTGAAGGTGATGGTGTGGTGCCGGAGGTGCCGTTGCCTCCTGTTCACCAATGACGTAATTGGAGAACACACCAACAATCAACCACAACCACGTGAGCCACAGCGGCAAACATAGGGGACAGACAGGCAGTCATACGAGTAGTATAGGGTTCGATGTCACGTAGCAACGACTATGAATGTATGTCATGAATAAAAAAAAAAAGAAAAAAAAGAAGAAGAACGAACGAGGAGGGCAGACGTTAATGACGAGCCTCGACTTTTAATCACCGCGCCGATTGCAAAATGGAAAGTGACGAGGAGAGACCTCGAAGCGCGTGCCGATCATGCGTTTTGTCGGCTTCGTGCACGCGCTTACACGGGGGATTTCGAAAGAGAAAGACAGAGAGAGAGAGAGAGAGAGAAACATAAAAACAAAAAAAAAAACACGGAGAAGTTTCGTCGGTCGTCGCAGATTTTTCTATTTGGGTCGATCGAAAGCATCCGCCGACGACGAGTGCCTCTCACCAGCGAGGCACGCGATGTCGCGTGAAATTTTGACGAGCCGACGAAACTTGCACCCGCTTGCCCCCGACGCCTCTCCCTATCGGCCGTTTGAAAGTTCGGCGTCTCGGCTGTGCTGTGCCTCGCCCGTAATTAACGAGCCTCCCGTCGAATGATAAGTACGAACAATACGAAGAATGTTTGCGGTGAGAAATCTAACGTGTCTGCGTCAGGGGCTCTTAACCCGCGATTCATGAGTGGGCGAAAGTGCCCGCGAATGTGTTCTCATTGGACTTATAATTGAAAAGTAACTTGTTTGTAATTAAAAAAGAAAAAGAAATAATAATAAACAAAGGGAAATAACGAGACATTAGAGTTTCACGAGAGAGGCCGTGACATAAAGTGACAAGGTTAAGAACCGCTGATCCGCATTGAGAGAGCGTATCGAAGTGACTCGATTCTGCAAAATTGACTGTCTATCGAGAGTATATGGATCAAACGGGTTTCTCCGGGAAATAGGGATGACACTGACCAAGAACATGCGGCGTGCTAAACTTCGAAATTCCTCAAGACTTGATCTCTCGGTGCAATGCCCGCGAGAAGGAACGCACGTAAATATGGACGGCGAAGTGCTTACTGCGCGCGCTTGCACGCACGACGACTCGAGAGAGTCCTGCCGGCGGCAGGCAAAGCTTGCAGAGTGTTTCGACTTGAAAGTAACGCGCGAGCTTTGCACACGCGAACGCGGCTTCTTCCAATGCGAATCTCCCACTTCTCGAGTTGATCTTAATACCAAGAGAAAAAGCTTAGTACACCGCGCCGTCGATAATCTACGCAGCGTCGCCTGCCGAGAAACGTAATCTAGTGTAGGTGGGCAGGTAGAATAACCCTCGACTAAACACAGACAAAAATTCAGACCTCTCGATCGTGATAAGAGACAGTGTATGTGTGTGTGAATGTGTCGACAGCAGAAAGACGTGGTGCAACGATCGTGTTAATTTGTCGGACATACCACTGCTGGTACCTGGCCAGGCACGAGAGGCTGACCCGGCGTGAGGCCCATCTGCTGCATCAACGCATTTTTCAATGCTAGGTGGTTGCGACCGTTTATCAGGAGTTGATCCTTCAGATGTTGCGGAGGATGGAAATACTTGCACGGTGGCTTCTCCCGATTACATCGACCCTGAAACATAAACGGGCAAAGTGTTCAAAGTCGCTCGTTGTTTTTCGCGTGTGTCAATTTCGCGGATTCCACGTACCACTGCATCGCAATTTACGAATTAGAGATTATACCGCGGTGACATTTTAAAATTAGAAAAGACCGAGTCAAGTGAGCCCAAAGGTTATACCGTTTTGTTTATGTACTTATCATGAAAGAATGATAATGGAGAAGGAATCGTTCCCTTTAGGACATAAATATTTTTCCTATGTTAAAAGTATTCCTAAAAAGTACATTTTGCGATCTCTTTGCCATTGTTGCTTTCGCAATAAACACACAAACAAACCAGACTTGACTCGGTCTCCCCTATTTTACGATTATTATGATTAATGTAATATATAGATTAATTTTTAAGGAAGTCATTTTCAAGGAAAGTATCGTCTCCTTGGACCGAACCCAGATTAGTAAATTCCATGAATTGAGATCGCCGGGATAATTTTGCGTGTTAAATGTTACTCGTCAAATTTCCCTTCCAACTTGCAACTCATCAATTCACGACTGCGATACCGTTTCAATGAGAACCGTTAAGGGTCGGATGTCGGTGTATAAGTATATTAATGATCACTCCGGAGGCATGGGATCGCAAAATACACCCTCCCAAACTCTGCCGTATCGTCGCGGTCATGATGATCCGTGAGATATCCGATACTCGTAACCACTCGGCAACTACAATAACGCAGATACTAATTTCCTGACGACAACCTCGCTCGCCGATACACCCGCACACTCACGCAGGCGTGCATGCATGCAGCCGGGTGCGGCGTTGTCTTGGGCGAAGCCGCGCGTAACGCGAGCTCCTGTCTACAATTTATCCACAAATGAAACGCACTCGCGTACAAGTGGTTCATAATATAGCTAATATCCGAAAGCCACCCACCGGCATCCACCACCCTCCATATCAGGTTCTCGCTCGCTGCGTCTCTCTCCCTCGCACGACCTCACTCTCCTGGTAACTTGGGTGTTGGGACGAAGTGTAACGCGGTTTACGGGGTAAGTTGCGGGCGCAAGGCCGGAATACGGAAGTGGCGCGAAGGCGGGAAGGTGGTGGGAGCGTCGTCGAGAGCTCGGAGCGCGTCGGAAAGACAGAGACCCGAGGCGAGGAAGCGAAAGGCGGAGCAAGTGAGGAAGGTGAAAGGCAGACGGGGTGAGACGAGACGAGGCGAAGTGAGGCGAGGTCGCGCTCGGTGTCGCGGTGGTACTAATTAGACCTTAACAATATTAGTTCAGGTAAGACGTCTATATATACATACATATGTACATATGTATATGTATAGGACCGGAGGGTAGCCACCGTCAGCCGCCCGTGCTTTCTTACGGAAATCCAGTGGCTTTCGGTAATAGCGGCTTGCGAGCGTAAACTCCGTCAGACAGGGGTTGCGGCCGCTACGTGGCTGAGAATAAGAGGAGATGGAGAAGGAAGGAGCGGCGGTCGTGTCGGTGGTGACGGTGGGACGAGCGCTCAAATATCGCCTAATTAAGCACATTCGAGAGTTTCGAGGAATAATGTGTAGGTACGCAGGGCACGAGAAAGTTTCGACCCATCGAGAGGAAATGCTCCGCCCTCTTCATCGTCTTCGTCGTCATCGTCGTCGACCTCTCGGCGCGCCCGTCGTCGCGCTCCACGGGAGCCGACCTCTCGTTGACACGAGGCGGTTTAAGCACGACTAATTGCGTGAGACAAGATTCCCGTTCGTACGACGCGTGTCGTGCGATCGCGTGCAACGCCGGGCTCTCGAGTGGATGACGTTTGTTTCTCCTAGGTTGCTTTGTCTCTCTCTCTCTCTCTCTCTCTCTCTCTCTCTTTTCTTTCTCTCTGCTCTCTTTCTCGACCGACTGTTCCACTTTTATTTTCCGTTTAATGAAGAACCGGTCGCAGTAGTTCTTTAAGCCAGCCGAGTGATTCGTAAAGTTTCCCCGTGTAAACTTTGAGCATTGAGAGGAAAGATACCTTAGAAATGTAGAGAACTAGAAAGAGAAGATCCAACGCGAACAACGGAGTTTCCACGCGGACGAGGGATAATTTATCGAGGGCAAAATAACGAACAATGTTTCAGAAAAGTTAAACACATCCGGCGAGAATTCGGAAGATCGCGACGGTCTTCCGGACTTTGTGCAATTAACTCGCTCCTCGAACTCTTGTTATCGCCACTTATTACCTCGATTGCGCGCTCGATATCGCGGCTGGTAAACTCCCCGCAGCGGAGACTACAAAGTACGCCAGGCAGGAGAGCGTCATAATGACGCAAATAAATATAATTTCGGAATATTTAAGTCGACGTGCATTCTAGACGGTGTTAACTGGTGGGCGCAATATTAAAGTTGATTTAAGGGGTCTACTGATAAGAAACAGCGTTCTCCGGGGAGCCGTGCGAAATGCTCCCCCTCTAATTTTAATGAAACTTTAATGATATTTAGAGGATCTCCGGAGAGAGACGGGTAACCCCGTAAATCTCGCACATAATGACGTAATATCTCAGAGATCTTTTAACGGCCGGATTGTTTCATCCTTAAACGGGTTTAACTTTAATGCCAGGGCAAATCCAAATATGCCGCCGAGATTAACGAACACCTACAATCGTTACGCTTCTCTCATTTCTCCGCGATGCCGATATTGAATTCTCCTATCGCATTGTACTCGTTCCTCGGATCGATGAACGTGTTTGTATAGCGTGTAGAGCTCATGAAATTGGACATAAAAGTTCTCTTTGCAAATAACCATGACCATTATTACTTTACTTCGCGACCCACAGTAACAATATTAATCTCGTCATTGTTACGATAGACGAGACCAGACGAGGAAAGAAATCTGAACGATTTTACGAATAAAAGAGTCAGCGTGTTCCTCGCATAAGTATGCGTATTCTAATTGATCACGACGCTAGACTCTTTCAAATTAACAGAAAAAGAGCGATAAATGCGCGGGAGAGTGTTCCAAAGAGACTGCTTTTGACTTCATGTCATTACGTCGACTCATAAGCGAGTAACAGCCGTTTAAAGCCGTAGCACCGACGTCAGTCTTCGGTGTTAGCGCTAACGCTAGAGTTCCTCAAGTTGAAGTTAGAACACCGTTCGCCATTTGTAGGGAGGAAACTAGTGAGAGAGGAACTGTAGCGTGCTCCGCCATTTCAGTCTTAGAGCTTATCTCTCGCTTCTGCTGGAGTTTCTTTCTCACTCCTATTCACGTCATTTCTAAAAATGACAGATAGGATGAGGACTCAGGAATAATCATGTTTTGCCCTAATTCTGACTAAAGGAACTCTGGTTATCACCAGATTGAGGTTCCTATCTATTGTCGTGCTGGTGCATTATATTTTCATACTATGTTCTTCTAAAAGATAAATGAACCACCACGTAGTCGCAGCGAGCAAATAGCTGAAATACTATCTGAGACGCTGAATGAAGATAGCGACTGACCATTTCAGGACCGTCAATTTCATAAGATTTGCAGAATTGTCTCCCTAATTTCTGAAAACTTCTTTTTGAAACTAGTTTCTATCGTTGTAATTATAATAATACAAAGATATTGGGACAGCGTAGATATAAAACAAAAAGATGATATAGAAATAACACGCGTAAAAGAGTTCAGTTTCATAAATTAAAGAGAGTCCAGCAAGTCTCATGAAGGTTGACGGTCTGAGCGCAGGGTGCGAGGTTGCTATTGGTCTATGTTCTTTTAAAATGAGATGAGTGGCCGAAGCGACAGTGTAACCAAAGCGACGGTACTTGTCTGGACCTGAAATAGGAACAGCGAGCCGCGTGCGAGGCATCGCTCACTAAAGTAACGTCTAGGAATGTGGCGCCACTATGATCCACGTGTAAACAAACACGTATGCTAGCCAGCTGCAACACGCCGATCGATCGAATCCGATACAAACGTCGATAACTTCACTTGTAGATGTCGTAGCGACTTGAAACAAAAACCATTGGAAAGGAGGAATTACGCGCATCTGATGGACGTGAAATCGTTCTTTCTGTGAAATAAGAACCAAATAACATAATTATCGGCTTTTGCGTTAAAGTGGACGTTAGTCTATGTTAAAAACTAACAGGAAGCTTTGGTTTGGATTTGAAATACGATACGTTGATTTAATGTTTTTCACGTGTATAAAGTGCAATTTCAAAGAAAAGCAAAATAATAATGGGAACTCTGATTCAAATATAAAGGATAGTAATGTGAAAAACGAAAGGTAGCGATGAGTGATAACACGGAATAATAACGTTAAACTGAAAAGTTTATCAGCTTCTGTTTTTTACTTCATGTTAGGCACGGGAGACGGAGAGATGCACCAGCCAATGAGAGGCGCACCAAGAAGACTTCGTAACTATGAAGTTAATGGCCCGTGAAGAGCCCGTGATGTCCCGAAGCTGCCATAAAAGCGGAACATACTCGACATTTTAGACAAACGATACAACTTACGACACTGATGCGCGCGTGAGAACGTTTGAGAACTTACAACGCTATCACGGGAACGATCGTTTTTTTCGTGCTTTTGTAGTTGTACGAGCATAAACCCGATAGTGGATGTAAACCTGACGCGCGGGACAATAATGAACGATATTCGATTTCACGTTTATCCTCTTAGGTGAATGGCCCGCCATAAGGCGACGGCGGCGCGCAAGACAGGCTTTAGTATTTTTACATTGTCGATCCGGAGACGGTATTAACCTTATTACGTCGTAAGACGACATGATGAAGAACCTCTGAGCCATGCGCCAACGAGATTCTACTTGCTTCGTGGGACTAATCTTACGCAATCTAGACAAACGCGGCTTAACTTCGCTCTGATGCTCGCACACCCGAAAATCTGCCTGTGGAAACATTCGATATGTTCGCCTAAATAGTCTTACATCGGATTTACTTTATACGTGTGAACAAAACGTTATCCATTATCCTCGTTACTTTGCGAGTGAATTTCATTGCCGCATCTCACTCGCCAAATAATACTTTAATGAATTGAAACAAT